TGCTTTTTTTTTTTTTCCTGCCACTTCCTTTCTCTTTTAATGGGCATCTTGGCCTCCTTGTAAGGAAAGGTCCCTCAATGTGGAGTCTTTTTTTTTTTTTTTTAATTTTAGGATGTTCTGCCTGCATGTACACCTGCATGCCAGAAGAGGGTGCCAGATCTCATTATAGATGGTTGTAGCCATCCTGTGGTGGCTGGGAATTGAACTCAGGATCTTTGGAAGAGCAGCCATTGCTTTTCACCTCTGAGCTGTCTCTCCAGCCCCTAATGTGGAGTCTTAATGAGGATTAGTGGCCACTTTTCTTGACATAGACCAGAGAAGACTGGGGGGGAAGAGCACACAAATCAGATTGCTCCCACTGGAAGCTTCATTTAGAGTCTACGCAAGTACTGAAGTCTGTTGGAAGGTCCTATTCCTGATTAGAACACACATTTGTGTCTACATTGGGTGTTAAGTGCGGTTCTAGCATATTCCCCGCGCTGGATCTGAGGCCAAATTGAAGAACCAGGCTTCAATTCAAAGACAAGAGCCCTACCTGTGAGTCCCAGCACCGCACGGACCAGCGACAGACCATTTGAAGTTATAGGTGTGTGGAAGGCAGAAAATGTTCTCTCAGGGCCGTTCATGTCCTCCGCTACTGCCTGTTAGCGTGACTGAAGGAACTTTGCCGGCATTAGGCTGAGGGTTCAGTTGGTGGCAGGGAGTGATTCTGGAATATTCGGGTGAGAGCAACCTAAAGTCCTGATGGCGACACCGCCCTCAGAAGAGGCCCAGCTGTGGAAGCAGGCTTGGCAGGCACTACACTGCAGATGCGGTAGAAAACGTTTGCAGCCTTTCCATGCTGGGACGGCTGGGACCCAGACCCTCCTGAAAGCCCAGAAAGAAAGGCAGCCCTGCAGACAATGGGATTTTAGTTTAGCCCAGTGACATTTCCAGCCTACAGAACTGTAAATAAATTTGTGTTGTTTGGGGTTTGGTCTCAAGATACATACCTTTAACCCTAGGACTTTAGTCAAGGCCAGACTGGTCTACATAGTGAGTTCCAGGCCAGCCAGAACTCTACAGTGAGACTGTCTCAAAAAAACAAAACAAAACAAAACAGAAATTATGCTGTTTTAAGATGTTAAGTTTATGATAATGGATTAAACAAGTAAAGAGAAATTGGACAAAACACCCATCCCTCAACTTGGAGAAGACATTGCTTTGACTGATAGATCAAGGCTGGAATCCCAGAGAGCAAGCAAGATCCTATGACAATCAGGTGGCATTAGCAAACAGAGAAAAAGAGCTGTGAAGACAAAATGTCAGCTGCATAATGGATGTTGGGACCTAGCAATTGATTAGGGAAGTCAAAGGAGAGGGGGCGTGAGAAGGAAGCTCAGTGCAACACTCACACAGACACAAAATAGAAACATATCTACATGCAAGCATGTAAGTTTTGTCAAAGGGAAAAACAGAACTAGAAAAGGAGTGGTTCTCAATAAAGACGAAGCTACACACACACACACACACACACACACACACACACACACACACCTGCTGCACTGCAGGTTTAAGACTCACTGATTTAGCCTCATCAGGGAAGACTAGACTAATCTCTGTGCAGAAGATGATGTGTAACGAAGAAACAGACCCATAACAAGTCTAAGCACAAAGAAGAAGTGTCAGTGGTATGCTCAGCCGTAAATCTATCTCACACCTCTTCCTCCAAGACTCTCACGCACGTGCACAAAGATTTTAAGAGCCAAAAGTCGGGGAGGGTTGAGGGTACACAGTGTTATCTGGACATGGTGGGGTCATGGTATGGTCAGGTATGGCTGCCTGCACAAGAGCAAGCCAACCAACATTCCAGTTCGGATGGAGGAGGGGCTTGTAAGTCCTCACCCCTGCTGAAGAGCATGATGGCTGGTAGGGGAGGGCAAGTCAGTCTTCTCTGAAAGTCCGACCTGGAGAAACAGGTCAGCAAGGTACACAGGTGACCCTAAAATAGGTCACGACTGGAAGTCTCACCACAGCATGGATGACGACATTCCCACAGCCATGCAAGATGGAGTCCCCCCTCAGCTGGCTTTCCCCAGTTTATTTGTCCTAGCACCTCCTGAGGCAGCATTCAGCTTGCTTAGAATTACACGCCAAGGAAAGAGGGATGCAGGAAGACGTGGCTGGCACCTCAGGGTGCCCTCTATGAGGTGATGTCAGTTAGGGTATATTTAAAAAATGATGCCACACATATACAGTCTGATAGATCTGATAGGAAAGAGTTTATGGGGGGGAGGGGAAGGGAAGCAGAGGAGAGCTAGGGCCTGAGTGAGCCCTGAGGGCAGAGAGACAGAGGGACAGAGTTGGGGGAAGGGGCACCCCAACAGAGAAACAAAAGCAGAGAGAGAGAGAGGTGGGAGTGGCAGACTGGTTATATCTGAAGCACCTGGCCCGGGTGATCTCATAAGACTCAGGTGGATACATAGGACCTTGTCAGGACCCTAAGGGCAGGCCAGTTGAACTCCCTTTTATAATTAAAAAAAAAAAAAAAAAAAAAGGAGCTAGGGAGGCGGGAATGAGGGCGCTGGACTGCTTCCATGCGCGGCAAGTTAAAGTCTGTAAATGTAGGTTCATTGGGCGCAACTCTTGGTCACCACGCAAGAGGGTAAGAGAGAGAGAGAGGAAAAGTGAGAGCACCAAAATGTCCAGATTACATGGTAAGGAAGAAGGGCAGCCCCTGCCCTGGGAAGTTCAGGGTAGAGGGTGGGGTTTGCCAGACACGCCCAGCAGCAGATAGGGACTGAGGAATGCTGGGAGAGCCTGGAGCTGCCTGTCCTGGGCCTGAAGCACAGCAGCGCTGTGGAGAGGTCACAGCTGCCTTGAAGATGAAGCAGGCATTCTGCTCTGAGGATGGCATCCCACATCCACCCCCTTCCTCCAGCTCCTGCAGTCTTCCTACCCACTCTTGCACAAGGTCCCTTGAGCCTGGGATGGGCCAATAGAGGTGACTAGTGATTTCTTCCCAACGATTGGACCATTGCAGTACAGCAACAGTCACAGCAGCATCTTGACCAAATATAACTATCTACAGGACTGATCACTGAAAAGGGGCGGGGCTGACGGTGGCTATATGCTTCGTGAGCAGGTGTAGGCACAAGGCCTTTGACAGATGTATGTACAAGAGCAGGAGCTTTCCCACCTGGGTTATGCCATCACCAGCCACAGTGTGAGAAACACTGATTCTCACTTCATAATAAGAGCATGGAGACTCAGAGTATTGAAGGCCAAGCAGTTTGTTTTGCAGATTTGCAAAGCTGAAAGGCAGGTGAACCGACGGCAGAGACCACCTTATAAACCTAACAATGAGGAAGCCACCTTTGTGAATAATCAAGGCACAGTCTTACAGTCAGCCTGGCTTCACACTCTGTGTCTTTTGCTCAGAAGAACACATGGATTCATTTCTGTTTTCATCCTGTTTGAAAACCTTTTAGAAGCATGACCATTCAGGCAAGCCTGGCTGCTGCTGCTTCTCTACTGTAAGCTTCTTGTGTGTGGTTATGTTGGCAGATAGCTTAGCAGAGTTGGGGACAGGTTAGCTAGACTTCAAGGCATTAGCAGGAATCCATTTTCTGTTCATTTGTAAGCTGCCCCAAGGCACCTTTGAAAAAGAACCATTCTTCTTGTAAACTTACAGCCAGTGGGAAAGTTGCTGGATGCATCCAGAACAGTCTGTGCCAATACTGTACCTGCTGGCTCATTTTGCCTGGCACGCTGACAGCATGGCACGGCACAGTTCCTAGCCTAGCCTGAGGTACCAGTTTCCTGCGGCAGCCTGTCTAGTTCGTGCTAGCGCTACAAAAGCCAGCCGGGGAACTTCCCACTCCTTCCGTTAGATTTCCCTGTGCCCTGGAACCACACTGTGCAGTCTACAATAACAGGGTCTTAAAGTTTGGTTCTGGCATGCAACCAACAGCAGTGACAATGATCGCTATAGTTTTGGTGGCCAAGAACCCCTCAGAAGGCAGAGCGCCCTGGGAAAAACTCCTGGAAGGGCACCCTGGCAGGCTGATCTGAATTAATAACCTTGCGGGCTTCAGAACCTTCCTCCACCCACACAACTGGCACCATTTTCTAATTATCAACCACTGGGTAGGAATATCCTTAACAACTTCCCTATTCTCTGAGGAGCCTGTCTAGAAAAGGTTGTCTTAGTCACTGTTGTATTGCTGTGAGGTGACCAAGGCAACCTATAAAGAAAGCATTTAATTGGGGCTCAACTGGCAGTTTCAGGGGGAGAGTCCATGGCCATCGTGGAGGGAGCACGGTGGCAGGCAGGCAGACATGGCGCTGGAACAGTGGCTGAAAGGAAGATCAGATCCCAGAGCTGGGATGCCTGGACCTGGCAAGGGCTGTTCAAGCCTTGAGGCCCACCACCCGAACAATGCCACACCTCCTAAGCCAGGAAGCAAACATTCAAACGCATCAGCCTCATTCCAACAATCACAAGTTATCTCTTGGGTCGCCAGGCACTGCTCACTGCTTATTTTTCAGATTTAGGACTCGCTCAGAGTCCTTACCCTGAGAGGGAAAGCGGGAAGGCTTGCAAGAGATCCTTCTTCAAGTGTTCTCAGCTCTGGCCATGTGTTAAGAAAGGGAGGCTTAAACCGTGTGAACGACACCAGAGTTCAGTGTCAGAACTCGGGACAGTGCACCGCAATAACCAATGATTGGTGAATGCTGCCAGAGTTAAGAATTCAGACCCAGAGGCCGGAGGGGCTCCGGTGAGTTCGAGGCCAGCCTGGTCCACAGAGCGAGCTCCAAGCCAGCCTGGGCTACAGAGTGAGACCTGTCCAGAGAGACACGATCCTATGTCACGGCTACCTCTGAGGTCACCATCTGCAGTGTGGCGGGCAAGGGGGACCTGAGGACTGAGCGCAGCAGGGCGAAGAGCAGGACGGAGAGGGCGGTGCCGAGGGGTGGGGCCTGCGCTGCGGCTCCGCCGGAAGTGCCCCTCCCCCGGTCCTCCGCGGCGGAGGACACGCGTGGCCGAGCGGACCGAGCGCCTCGCCGCCCCGCAGGTGAGCCTCCCGCGGGATGCAGCCCAGCCGCGGCCGCCGCCCGCGCCTCTGCTCCCCTCCTCCTCTCCTCTCAGCCATCTCCTCCTCCACCATCCCGTCTCCTTCCCGCTTCTCCGTTCCTTCCTCCTCGCCCTCTCTCTTTCTCTCCCGCCTCGGTCTCCCCTGTTCCCGCTCGTGCAAACCCTGCAAATGGTCCCCCAGTTCCCGCGGCTCCAGGGTCGCCAGCCACAGGCAGCTGCAGCCGGCTTTCTGGGGTGCTCCTTGCCAGGGTGGACAACGGAACAACTTTTGCTCTTTCCTAGAAACGGTCGCTGCGGTTTTGACACTCTTTTCTACACTGTACTTTAAATTTTGTAATGATTAAAATTGCTTTAAAAATGTAAGACAAGGCTGGGAAACAATCCCGGCTTTGATGAGTCGTTTCAGCAATCTCAGAATGGTGAGGCTGGGAAGGTCAGTATTGGAGAGCCGTTTCCAGGTTTCTCATTTCGAAGTGTGCTAACTTTTTTTCTTTTCCTTTTAATTCTTTTTAATTTTCAAGATTTGAGACTTTCTTTGTCTGGTTAGGGTAGACTCAGTCTTTCACATAGTGAGGCGCGTTCTTTAGAAGCGGGGTGAAATTCACACCAGCTTGATGAGCTGTTTGGCAGCGATGGAATGGCTGAGCATGAGTGAATAGCCATTTGCTGGGGTCAGATTTGGCAGTTGTGGTTCTGAAGGTGAGGGCTGGAGGCCTGGGAAACCACAGATGGTGCTGTTGGTGTCAGGGACCCCAGCTTCTGCTATTCGAGTCAGAGGACGGTTACACTGAGCCCCTGCTGTTGGCAGGAATCATTTTCCTTTGTAAATAGAAAACAGTAGTCAGTATGAAGACTCTTGTCCAGGCAGCCACTCCTCAAAGTGTTAGTGTTCTTAAGAAATGTAAAGAAAGTATGTTAGTTTTTAGGCCTGATTCTCCCTCTTAAGGAACGATTTTGAAACATTTAAATGAATGAGTTTTGTACGAAAGAAAGAAGAGAAAGAAAGAAAGAAAGGTTGCTTGCAGAGAAGCAGGGGCGGGGGTATGATAAATAAGTCCGTTTGCTTTTTAATTACTGGTGATAAATCTGGTTATTGATGGGGGATGGGAAGGGTCTGCTTTTGTTTGCTTTTATGGGTAGGGGACAAAGGGCTGGAGTGATTTCTCTGTTTCCATAGCTACCTCCAGCAGGGAGGGCCTGCCAGTGTCCTGTGAAAGTATCTGACTAGTAAAGCCAGAACCTGGGAATAAGCCTCTGTGGGGCAGTTGGAGGGTGGGAAAGCGTGCTGGAAGCCTGGGCCTGAAAGCAGCTGTGTCTGTGGAAGTTCTGAGGTAGTAGGGGATGGGAGGGAGGGAGGGAGGGAGGTTAGATGCCCTGGGCTTTCCCTCTAATTTCTTTACATCGTTTCCACTTTTAAAATTAAGGATTCCTTAAGACCTAAAAAAAATTACATTCATAATGTTTGTTTTTTTTTTTTTTTTTTTTTTCCTGGGAGTGTGTAAAGTGTGCAGCAGGTGTTAGAACATTGCCTCCCTCACCCCCCAAATTGGGGGACGCAAAGCCCCTGCAGCTGCTGGACAGCCAGTACAGCGGCATCAGGGAAGCCCAGGTTCAGTGAGAGGCCCTGGCTCAGAGTGCAGTGGAGATCCTTAGAGAAAGATGCTGCCATGGAGGGGTCCCCTCACATGTGTGCACATCAGTATGTGAATATGCACAGTACACACACACACACACACACACACACACACACACACACACAGGCTTTAGCTTTAATCTTAGAAACTTCAAGAGGCATTGAACGCTTTAACAATTCCTAGACAGGTTCACGCCTAAAAACATTCTCAAAGGAGCCTAGGGAGTTTTGCTTTTCAGGCTTCTGAAGTTATTGATGGTGCTAGGAGAGACTTAGCTTGAAGTTTTGGACCGTTGTTTCCTGACTCCGCAGGGAGACATTCTCATGCTGTGTGAGGTCTTGCATGAATAGGACATAGCCTGCCTGAGCCTGAGTGCCTAACAAAAAGACTGTAGGCGCTGACAGTTTGTGCTGCAGCCTTCTGTTTCCCGTCTTTTTCGATCATTTTCATTTCCAAAGTCTGGATCCCCCTGTAATTGTTTTGTTACTTCTACACAAGTAACATGCTCATCAATGTACTAACTACCCTCACGACCCTCATGGCGTTTCCGAAGACTCCGTTTCTACATTAACTGCTGTTGCTGTTGATGTCACTGAAGGGACCGTCTCTCAAATCTTTCTCTTAATTTGGCGCCCATTTCCTGTCGGGTCTGCTTTGATATAAGGTTTTTGACTTTGTGTGTGGCTCGTGCTCAGAGCCTGTGCCTTGCCGGTCCTGTGTTGCTTTTGTAAGTTTCATTTGTGCCTTTCGTGACAATCCTAAATGTTTGCTCTTTCTTATAAGGTTTCCTGTAGCTACAGTCTGTCCATGCACGCCACTGTGCAAGGGCCAAAGAGATAGATAGCTGGACCAGTAACACTGTCCAACCTCCCACCCTTTGGGGCACATCAGTGACTTTCTGGCAGGGGGACCTACAGGGAAGTGGACTTTTGTCCCCATCTGTGTTTTATGGTCTTGTGGGACAGTTGGTGGGACAGTTGGTGGGAAGCAGTGGCATCTAGCTGCGCCATGTGCCCTGTGTGCAAGTATAATGCTATGCACGTGAAATGCGAGGCTCCTGTGTAGCTGGATGAAAATGTTTTTCTTGCCTGGCGCAGTGCAGCATCTCCAACCCCAAGGTTGGTTCTCTGCTTTAGAGTTATCCGGTTCTTTCATCTGATCCCTATGAGGTGGAAGGTAGCCCTTTCCCTCTCGCCGCCCCCTTTCCGTTAGTTCTGTGGCTAAACCTTTCCTTCAAGGCGAATGTTTTCCTTGATATTCTCTTTAGGTTTCACAACCACCTTAGGCAACAGACACTAGGTATGTCTGTTAGGTTTTTTTTTTTTTTTTTTTGTCCACAAACTAGGGTCATCTGGGAAGAGGAACCCTCAGTTGAGAAATATCCCCATCAGGTTGGTTTGTATGCAAGTCTGTGGTCCATTTTCTTGATTAAAGATTGATGTGGAGGGGCATAGGAGAAGAAGAAGAAGAGGGTGGAATGGGGAGGGGAGGAGAGAAGGGGCTACAGCTGGGATACAAAGTGAATAAACTGTCATTAATAAAAATAAAATAAATTAAAAAAAAAAGGTTGACGGTTGATGTGGGAAGGCCCCGCCCACTGTGGGCAGCACCACCCCTGGCCCTGTGTGGTGTAAGAAAGCAGGGGGAGCAAGCCAGGAAGCAGCGGTCCTTCCTGGAGTCTCCTTGAGTTCCTGCCTTGAGTTCTTGCCCTGCCTTCCCTCACTGATGGACTTGAAGTCACATAAACGCTTTCCTCCCCAGCTTGCACTTGGATGTGTATCACAGCAGGAGGAAGCAAACTAGGAAGCTAGAGCCACCCTTCCTGTTTGGCTGGAGGTTTGATTAAGCAGACTAAGATGGCAAGATCCTCTTTGTGTCTTCTGGGGTGCAGACCTTTCTCAGATTCCTCGTTCTTTGGGTGGCGGAGGCAGCCTTGGTGTGAACGGGACCAGCTTTCCTACTTCTTGAGGCACACATCACCCCACAGTGACTGTACTAAACTGTGAAGTGCTGTGAAACCAGCAGTAAGACTTGCTAAGGTTGCAGTCTTATCTCTTTCTTACCTTGTATTTGTTCTCACTGTTTTGCTTTTGTATTGAAAGCGTGTTCCCTGCGGGAAAATGAAATTAGAATAGTGGGGTGGGGGGGTATTCTACATCATGTAATGCCTGTGTCCTTGCTTTTATGCGGTTCCCCTGTACAGTATAGGAAATTATATTCATGGACTGCGTGTTTTAAGTCTGTCCCTCCCCCGGCCCCCTAACAAAGCCAGAAACACACTCTATTGGCTGCTCTGTATCTTTTTTACTCTATATTTTGGAGACTGCCCCTCACCCCCCAGAGCTGAGCCTAGGGTCTTGCACTTGCTAGACAAGTGTTCTTCCACTGAGCTAGATCCCCAACCCTGAATTATTTTGTTTTATTTCTTTTTTTAGGTTAACACTGATTTACTCTTGCTAGTGATCCTCTGACTCACTATCAGGCTCAGCTGGGTAATTCTTCTCCACAGAATCCTGGCTGGGGCTGTAGTCCCAGAAGAACTCAATTTGGAAGGCTGAGATTTCAAGGTGGCTCATTGTTATCAGTTTTTAAAATGGTTGCCTTGCTGATTTCTTGAAGGGACAGGATTTTATTACCCTAGTCAAATAACTGATTTGTTTGGTTTTCCCTCTCTTTCTCCTGTCACACGAGACAGCAGGCACCTTCCTCCTTACCCCCAACACACACCCTTTCGCCTCGCTCCTGCTAGGTCCTGGAGAGACAGGGCTGCCTCATCACTATAGACAGGGAGATTGGCTCTATGTCAAGAGACACCTCCAGGGGTCACTGGAACCATGCTGGAAGGGGCTGTATGTTCACTGCTGAAAACACTGACCTTGAAGGTTGACAGAGTCGCCACCTGGATCCACTACACCCATGCCAGACCAGCCAGCCCCTTTGAGACCAAGGAGAACTACCCCAACCCATCAGACAACAGGGAAGGCATCAAAGGACCCCAAGAACCCACTCAAGCTCAAACTCACCGGATCATGAGACTGCTAATTGTATGTGCTCTGCTTCCCTTAGTAACTGCTTCTGCTCCTGCAAATCCACACCAGCTCTTCAACCTCACCTGGGAAATAATAGCTACAGCCACTGGGGAAATTGTTAATTTGTAGCCACCACAAATACCTGGTGGCCCCAACTAGAATTTGATCTCTGTGACCTGGTGCATGCATCAGGCACCTGGGACCATGACAACCCTGAAGAAAGAGATGGCTGTAAATACCCTGGGTACCAGGTTGCTCTCCGGAACCGTCATTTCTATGTATGTCCTGGCCACGATAAGACCAAATCATGGAGAGATAAGCGCGGGGGACCTGAACAATACTTCTGTGTCAGCTGGGGATGCGAGAGCACAGGACACATTTGGTGGGAGGCCAATCGGAAGGACCTAACAACAGTGCACAGGGGAGGCAACTATGGGTCCTATACCAGTAGTAACGTCAACTATGCTACTTGCTTCCCAGGGTCAGGCACGGTATGGATAAAGGGAAAGAATAAGGGAACAGGTGGCCCCTGTCATAAGCCTCCAGCTGTAGGAGGAACACCCAGAGGCAGATGTAATCAAGTATCCATCACCTTTACTGAATCTGGGAAACAAGCCACTTGGGAATCAGGGAAAAGATGGGGGTTAAGGATACATAGACCAGGCCTCACCTATGACCCAGGGTTACTTTTCACCCTCCGATTTATTGTAAATAATATCAAAGGCTCAAATCAACAGACAATAGGTGCCAATCCAGTTTTGAGGCCCCAAACCCGATGCTCTGAACGCCCTCCTACCCCCATAGCGAGCCCCAGCATCTCCACCAGGTCAATGAGCATGTTTAACAATTCCAGGGCTATGACGGGCAAGACTACAGGCCCTTACTTTGACAGTGAGCTGATCTGGACCCTAATGCAGCAAACCTATCAGAGGGGGAACGAGAGACCAAAGAATTAAGAATTAGGTTTTTGGGTTACTGGATTAAAGTTTAAAAGCACAAGCCTGAACAAAGACCAGGCACCTTCAAACATGTCTGACCAGCTGCAGGGAGGAACCGGCCTTGCTACATTCCTTTCAGACCACTAGAGATACTGTTGCCAGGAAACCTGGCCCAGATGGCCCCCAACTCCTTACAAAAGTCAGGTAGCCTTGTTCCTGGAAATATCACAGAATGAGCTAATAGCCACCTCCCACCCCCCAGCAACAGCCAATCAGCACAGGACAGGACATTCTGACCGCAACCCAAGACCAGTGTTCTTACCTGCCCTCCTCCCTGCCCACAAGAGAGAACAAAGAAAGCCAAAACTATTTATGGACTTGGTGCCTTCCCATAGCCAATCATTTTAAAATGCAACATCCCTTTTTATGTTTCAACCAATAGAATTTTGCCAGGGTGAAATTCCTCTGCTTTGGGCTCACTGGGAGGGACTAGGACCTATAAATCACCCTCAATCCTGAGCTCAGGGGCTCTCCGTTGGAAACCAGTGCCTTAGAGTCTGTGAGAGTCCCAGCTCAAGCTGCAAATAAAGATTCTTGTGTGTTTTGCAATGGATTGGACTCCTGGTGGTCTTTTAGGAGTCTCATGAATAGGGCACAGCACAGGCTCCTTGTTTGCATACACTAAGCTATTCATAGGTACCCCACCATCTTTAGAAGCACGTTTTCATCTGGGTTCCTGGCATGAAGAGCAAGTGTGTCAGTTAAGTCAGTGCTGTGTTTTCTTATGGACACAGGGTGGAACGGTTTTGTGAAAGAGTCTTGCCTGTGTAGCCCGGGCTAGTTTAGAATTCACAGTCCTGCCTCTTTTCCCATGAGCTGGGGTGACAGGCATGCCCCACTATGACCAGTTACATAGTGGGGTTTTTTTGTTTGTTTGTTTGGTTTGGTTTTTAACATTTCACTCTATAGAAACCATAAACGTCCAGGTTTGTGGGAAGCATGGCGTCTACAGTTGGATTAGAAGGTGAGAGGGAGATAACCTCTGTACTTTCTGGTGAGTTTATAGAGGAAGTTAACCAGGCTTTGAGGACTTGGCCTTACGTCTCCATTAAAGGAAGTTTGTGACTAAGTTTAAGATTGTTAATGTTTAAACCTGTCCTCAATGGTCCTATTCAGAGGCCTTGACCTAACTGTTCACTTTCATCTTACAGCTGGAAGGCACTTACAGAAGATGGCCATATTGGTAACACCGTGTTTACAGAGAATGCCAGCTGTGGTCTGTGGGCCAGGGTTTGGAGACAGCTTTAGCTAGCGTTTGTTTTTAAACTCAAAAGCACTGTGACAGGCTCAGCCCGGGAAGCCCTGGGTGCTAGGCAGGGTGTGCTCAACATAGTGGCTTTTGAGCTAGCTGCTCTCCATCCAGCTTGCTGTCTGGGCGTAGGTGGGGTCCATCCTGTGGGGAGGGCAGAGGTGTGGCCCAGCACTGTTTGCAGAAGTTGTGTTGTTCCTGCTGTGGTGATTTTGCACTAGGCAGGTTTCTTGTGATAAAGGCCACGGCCAAGAGCAGCGTGGTGAGGAAAGGTTTTATTTGACTTACAGGTTATAGTTCATCATAGAAGGAAGCCAGGCAGGACCTGAAGCAGAGGCCATCTTGGAATGCTGCTTACTGGCTTGATTTCCATGACTTGCTCAGTTTGCTTTTTTTTTTTTTTTTCTGGCTGGTCATAGCACTTTATTGAGGGGCGGGGCTCTGACATCTGCACAGCTACAACCTGAGGACAGAGGTGAGGTGGATGAGTGGAGGGGTGTGCCCACAGCCTTTCGCACTTCTGGTTCCAGGCTTTTGTTTCCCTTGGGCACCCTCTCTACCCCTACTCTAGATTCCTGGGTCCCTGTTGACCAGTTGTGAGGTATGGGAAGAGCCCAGAAATTGGCAGCTTTCAAAAGGGAGAAAGGTACTGTGGGGCAAGGCAGCACGGCCCACAGGATGCCAGGCAACCCCATGCGGAAGGGCCTCACTGCAGCTCACGGAAGGCCCGCTTCTCCGCCAGCTTCACTTTGTATTTGTGCTTGAACTTGGCTCGTTGCCCAGTCTCAATCATTTCTCTTCTGGAAGCTCTTGAACCTGTCTCGGAGTATGTTACCTTCTGGCTTCAGCGTCCTGAGTGAGCCAGACAGCTCAGAGCTGAGCTGCACATCAGTGTCAGGGTCCTGGTACTTGAGCCGCCCCAGCCTTCAAGGCTTGTCAGCCTCTGCCTGTCTCCACATGCGCGGTTGCTCCCTCTGCCGTGCCAGCTCTGCCAGCCTCTGGGCCACCTGGGCCTTGATCCCACGAAGCCTGAAGAGTTCTTAGGGTTGGAGCCTGGCTGCCGCTGCACCGCAGCTTTCGGACAGCCTTCTCTCACCGCTGGCACTGCTCCGTCGTCTTCTCCATATTTTCAGGACCAGCAGCACCATCATCAGCCTCCGGCTGCTCGCCCTTGACATCAGACTCTTCCAGTAGGCCCTCGCACACCTCCCAAAATGCAGACTCCTGGGTGGCAGCTTACTCTGTGGTGGGCAGGGCCAGTTGTCACTCCAGCTTTTCCACCTCTTTCTCATCCTGCAGCTCTACCTCATGGGCCTTTTGAAGCAGGGCCTGGTGATCTTCAAAAGTTGGTTTGTAGGAGGCTCCCGCAGAAACACCTCCACTGCAGGCACCTGGAAGGGCTTGACATGGAGGTGTGGTGGCCGCCTCAAACCTTTCTTCTTGGTTTGCTCAAAAAAAAAAAAAAAAAAAAGTGCATCTTGACCAACCAAAGGCTTGTCCAGAGGGTTGTTTGCGTTCCAGAGGTCACAGAAGGGCTCACTGATGTCCTGTGGCCTGAGTTTGGCCTTTGGAGCAGGAAGATTGAGGAGTCAGGCCTGTGCCTTGTGTACCTCCCTGGGCAGCTCCCAAATCTCCTCCTTTCTCCAGAGCTTCTTGGCCTTGGGGACCTGCTGTGTGAAGATGTGTTTGGGAGCAGGAATCTTAGAATGATTCTCAAGGACAAGGTCAACCCATAGGGGTTTCTGGAGACACTGTGACTTATTCCTTTTTTTTTTTTTTTTTTTTTATACAACCCAGGACCACCTACCCAAAGGTGATACAGCCCACAGTGAGCTGGACCCTCCCACATCAGTCATTAATCAGGAAGATGCACCACAGGACAATCTCAAAGAGGCTTTTCTCTCAGTTGGTTCCTCTTCCAAGATGATCAGAGCTTGTGTAGAGCTGACAAAAAACTGACTGGCAAGCTTGGCAGTCAGTTCTCACCTGGTTGCTCACATGGATTTGGCTAGATGATTAAAAATTCTGTGCAAAAGGAGATAAATGTTTCTCTTTCTCTCTCTCTCTTTCTAGTTTTTTTTTTTTTTCCCCCAAGACAGGGTTTCTCTGTGTAGCTCTGGCTGTTCTGGAACTTGCTCTATAGACCAGGCTGGCCTTGAACTCACAATGCTTTGCCTGCCTCTGCCTCAAGTACTAGGATTAAAGGTGTGACCACCACCTGACTTACAAAATAAAAGTTTTAGGAAGTGTGAGTGCTATTGATTGCCATCCATTGCCATACACACTCTCTCTGTCTCTGTCTCTCTCTTTGACTTGCCTGGATGTGCTTTATTATACCTTTAATACCAGCACTTGGGAGACAGAGGCAGATGAATCTGAGTTCTCAGCCAGCCTGGCCTACAGAGTGAGTTCCAGGACAGCCAACGCTACACAGAGAAACCCTGTCCAAACAACAAGAACAGACAAAATAAACAAAAATAACAAGAAAAGCCACCTTTAAGTGAAGGTCTCTATTCTTACCTCAAACTTGTTGCTGAGATCCTAACCCATGCCCTGTGTGTTGAGCTATGTCTTCAGGCTCCTTTTGTTTTCGTTCGGCAGGTTCTCAGCCTTGGTTCTAAGATGATGGGATTGGGGAATGGGCGTCGCAGCATGAAGTCTTCGCCCCTTATCCTGGCTGCCCTAGTGGCCTGCGTCATTGTGCTTGGCTTCAACTACTGGCTTGCGAGCTCCAGAAGCGTGGAACTTCAGGTACCTTGTTTGTTTAGAGTGGAAGGACGTCACTGAATGTGTAAAGTAGCTGGGGGACAGTGCGGTGGTTACCCTGTTTATTGTCAGCCAATATCTTGGGTTCAGGCAGCCCACAGTAATGGTATTTTAGATCTCTATACCAACCTCGGTTGGTCCCTCCCCTCACCCCAGTATTGCATAATCTTGAGTTGCAGTTTATACGTCACTCTGCTTTCCCGCTGAGCGTTTGGGAAGGACGGGAAGGTTGGCCAGCAGAGGTAAGCTAGATGCTGCCCATTCCTGCCCTTCAGTCCACTGCAGAAAGCAAGAGTCATGTGGGTGGTGAATTTAGATTTCCCACATATCATGGCCAGTTATGATTGAGGCCAGGCTGGCCTGGTTGGGTTTTGTTGTTTTTGTTTTGTTTTGTTTTGTTTTGTTGGGGACGTGACACGAAAGCGTTTTCTGTGAAGACAGACCACAGTTGAGAAAATACTTCCATAATACTGGCCTGTAGGCAAGCCTGTGGGGCGTTTCTTAGTGAGTGTTATGAGTGAGCCTTTCCCAACGTGGGGCGGTGCAGATGTTGACAGGAGAGAGCATACCACCCTTGGGCAGATAGAGCTTACTTGTACGGAGAGAAGGCAGGCTGAGCAAGCCACGAGGAGCAAGCGTGTAAGCACTCCTCCATGGTCTCTGCTTCAGTTCCCATCTCCAGGTTCCTGCCTTGCTTGAGTTCCTGCCTTAGCTTCCCTCAAAGATGGGTTGTCTGTCATGAGGTTGTGTCAACCTCATCAGCCCTTTCCTCCCCAGGTTGCTTTTGGTCATGGTGCGTATCATAGCAATAGCAATCCTAACTGAGACGCATAGTAAACAATGACGAAGTCGCTCCTTGACTGAGGTGGGCTCTTCTGAGGCCTCCTGCTCCCTAGGTCATGATTGTTGTCTTTGCCCTGTCCGATGTAGCCCCCGCAGAGAGTATGCTCACTCATCCCCCTAACAATCCTCCCATGTCTAGGTCATTGGCTGCCTCTGGCACGTGTCTGATTCAAGTACTTTAGCAAGTCCCCCTCTCCTGTTGTCCTCTGGGTAGCCTTCCACCCACCACCCCTTCCCCTTGTTCTGTTCTTTGCTGGGCTGTAAGCCTTGGTCCTGGGATGCCTTTGTTGAGGGAGCTGGTGGCAGCATCTTGGCCGATGGCATGGGTCCTCAGGGCTATGGTTTCTTCGTAGACCCGAATTGTAGAGCTGGAAGGCCGGGTCCGCAGGGCAGCCGCAGAGAGAGGAGCTGTAGAGCTGAAGAAGAACGAGTTCCAGGGTGAGCTGGAGAAGCAGCGTAAGCAACTCGACAGGATCCAGTCTAGCCACAGCTTCCAGCTGGAGAACGTCAACAGGTTACACCAGGACGAGAAGGCAAGGCCCGCTCCTTCCCCACCGCCCTTCTGAGCGACACTCCTACCTGTCTGGGTTCTGGTGTCAGTTTTTATAGTCGTATGGAGGTGTGAGCATGCTGGTGCAGCTGAAATGCTTGCTGTGTTAGTGGGGAAGCGAGCCGAACAGGGTGGGATGAACTCTTCCTTCTCTTGGCATTTGCCTACTCTCTTTTCTGCCACAGACAGCTATTGTTTGTGTCTACAGATACCTCACACACAGATTAGAAGCAGCCTTTACACCAAGGAGAACAGTAAACACACAGGGCAAAAATTAGTCTCCATAGACCTAAAAAATGCCATCAGTCTAGAAAACAAAAGACAGATGCCCTCAAAGACTTTGGAATGGAAGGTAGAAATACAGAATTGGAAGAAGAGAAAACAGAAGGCTGTGAAGGAAAATATTAATGGACATGAAATACGAAGTTTACTTTTAGGCAAACAAACATCACACAAAGGGAAGGCATTGTTTTCTGATTCCATCAGCAGAGAGGATTCGGCACCTGGACTCTAAGACTAAAATCCACACTGTGTACTGGTTGAAAGAAATGCCTCCTGCTCACTGAGATGCAGAAGCCCATTGGCTTTTTCTGAGGGCTATATCAGGGGTATCTGTGGTGGGGAAAGTCATTAGTGTCTTCCAGTCCAAAGAACGCCAAAGCCGTGGCCACTGACTGTTCTGCTGGTTTGCCTCACAAAGCACTCCCTCCCTGGCCATGGCTGCTTTGTTGGAAGGAGGCTTGTGCAAGGGCTGTGTTCCCAGGTCTTACGTCCCAGGTCTTATGTCTTACATGCCTGAGAGAAGCATCTTCATGGAGGGCACCAGTCTCAAGGGATTCTGATTGTGGAGTCCTCCAGTGCTCCCCTGGTGATGCTGAAGGTGGGACAGCTGTTCAGTCAAGGTGGCAGGACCAGATGGTGCCTCCCTTTTAGTCCATTGAAGCCCACCCCACGCCTGTGTTGTGGTGCTCCACACTCAGCGTGGTCTTCCCCTCTTAGTCTATGTGGAAATGTCCCATGCCCCCAATTACACTCTTACCTGTCCCCTAGGCATCCCTCAGTCTAACCGAGTCAAAGATCGAGATTCCATGCCTTCTCACGCTGAGGGTCCTTCCTGCTCCTATCCTCACAGAAGCAAGGTTGAACCATGTCCTCTCACCTGCTAGGAAGCTCCCTGCCCCACTTTTAAAAAATGTTTTTAAATTTTGGAACAGGGTCTCACTAGGTAGCCCAGGCTGGCCTTGAACTCAGTGTTTCTGCCTCAGCACCCTGGGCGTCAGTGCTGATGTTGCAGGCATGGGAGCTGGGGCTCAGAGAAAGTCCACCGCTGTCACCAAGGGTGAGATCTGGGCCCCGGGTGGGCCCCAGAGACAAGCTTTTCCTCAGTTTTCAGCCACCCTCTGCCGTCTGGGTAGACAGTGTTCCTTCGCCGGCCCACGTGAAGGTGGGGTTGCTGAGGAGCCATCGTGGCCTCCGCAGGGCACTGACATGACTGGATGGTGGGCATGTGCAGGTGTCCTTTTCACCACGGACACTTACAGCACACCCCTTGCTGGCTCCTTGCTCTGGAGGCTGTGGTGTGCCCGCTAGCTCTGTTGACAAGGATGCAGTTCTTCATCCGGAGGTGACCAGGTCAGGCTTCCAGTCCGGTTCCTCAGTCTCCTGTGGGTCTTGCAAAGGAGCAATGCCCAGCTGTGGAATGTTCTTAAAGGTGGTTAGTTGTCTGTCTGTCCTCCACAGCGCAGTAGCCACCAGCCATGCGAGGCCGTTGAATGCTTGAATGGTGCCTAACAGGACCAGTGGGTGGAATTTAATTTTAACTAATTGGCATGAACTTGTCATGTATGGTCAGTGGCTGCTGTGTTGGCTGGTGGAAGTCTGGGTGGTGGGTAAGGAAGCTGGAATGGGCTGAAGTTCTGGAACTCATGTTCCATGCACAAGTAGATCCCCCGGGTGGTCACAGAAAGTGCTTGCTTTCCTTCCTTTCTCTGTGGGGGACACACGTGTGTCTGGGCGCCGCAAATCTAAAAATTTGATGTCTGAAGTGTGCCACATTCTGATACTTTTTAAGCACCTGACTCAAACAGTTGTGGATTTGGGGGTGCTTTGGATGCCTTATTTTCAGATGAGGTATGCTGAATGAGTAAAGCTTGTGTAGATCTGCTAAAATCTGAAAAGCTTTGATCCTGACATACTAATGGTCCCAAGTATTTGCCAGCGGGAGTGGGTAACGGAAGGCGAGACCCCGTTGGCCAGCATCTGCCCCCCCTCCCCCAGAGTCTCACAGCTTGCCGCTTGCTGTTCAGCTGCTGGGTTATCTGTCAGTCCATCAGGGTCCCATTGTGTGGTCTGAGCTCAGCCGGAGAGCTCACGGGGGAGACACTTAAAGCAGCACATATATTTGTTGTCCCAGACTCCCTGGGCACCAGGGCCCAAAGACTATATAATTTTTAAAGGATTGCCCACACATCCCTGTGTCCCCCCCATTTTGTCTGGTTTCTCAAGTCAGTGTGATGCAGCTGACCCAGGGCCTGCAGTTGGAGAGCAAGCATTTTGTGGCATCACAGCTAAAAAGCAGACAGTGAGGCTCTGTCTTCTCAGCATTTTGACTTTTCCTAGCTGAATGGTTTTTGTCTTTTTGGTTGGTTGGTCTTTGGTTTTTAAGACAAGGTTTCTTACTCTCTTTCCTTCCTCCTCTCTCTCTCTCTTTCTCTCTTTCTCTCTCTCCCCCCTTCCCCTAATAAACCTCCCACGTGGAACCAAAAAAAAAAAAAAAAAAAAAAAAAGACAAGGTTTCACTATGTAGCTCTAAGTTGGCCTGGAACTAGCTTTGTAGACCAGGCTGTCCTCTAACTCAGAGATCCCCCTGCCTCTCTCCCTTGAATACTGGGATCAAAGGCGTGAGCCGCCATTGCCGAGCTCTAAGTGAATGATTTCAAAGTAAAAGGCAGAGGCAGGGGCAGGTGGATCTCTGAGTTCCAGGCCAGCCTTGTCTATAGAGAGAGTTCCAGGACAACCAGGACTACACAGAGAAACCCTAACTCAGTAATAGTCAGCATGATAAGAGATATGATTCCTTTAAACGAGTTGACAAAAATGTTGAACTAAACTATTTTTTAAAGATTTACTTATTTTATGTGTATGAGTGTTTGTTTTTCCTGCATGTAAGTGCTACAGGGATGTGCCTGGCATTCACAGAGGCCAAAAGAGGGCACTAGATCCCATGGAGATGAGATTACAAATGGTTGTGAGCTGCCACATGTCTGCTGGAAACTGAACTCAGGTCCTCTGCAAGAGCAGCTACTGCTCTGCTCTTGTTTTGTTTTTGTTTTGAGACAGGGTTTCTCTGCGTAGCCCTGGCTGTCCTGAACTTGCTTTGTAGACCAAGCCGGCCTCAAACTCACGTAGATCCACTTGCCTCTGCTTCCCCAACTGCTGGGATTACAGGCGTTTGCTCTTAATTGATGAGCCATCTCTCAAGCTCCGAACTAAACTCCTTTGGAATTGGTGGAAGCTATGTCAACTTGGAACTGTACTTTTCACCATTATGCCTTTCACCCAGATTTCTGCCCAGAACCTGAATAAGGTTCAGTCTTGGGGTCTTTAGCACTGAAACTGGCTTGCCCAGGAGCCCCTCATATGGACCAGGATGCTGAGCAAATGTGAGCTAGCACTTCAGAAGCTCAGCATAAGCTCACACCATGGGTTCCATCCAGTTGTTACACGTTTAGAAACAGAATCTTTGTATCCCATGCCACCTGAGAACTCAGTGCCCTACTGCCTCAGCTCCCTAAATGGTGGGATTACAGGCTGTTAATCCTTCTGGGCAAGAATGAGACTACTACCATAATTTTTGAGCCAAATTTGAACCAAGCATTATTAAATACTGACCAGGACAATGGATGCTGGCCAGGTCCATACCTGGGATTCCCAGAGAATGGCTGCAAATCACAGTATTCTGGTGCTTAGAAAGGCAGAACTCACAAGGCTAAGTATTTCCTGACTTCATACAGCCAGGGGTGAGCATACATCCTCACATACCTTCTGCCTATGCGTGATCAAGCGTGTCCTGTGCAGTTGGAGCAACCAATGTTGTTTACAGAAGTAGAAACACATTATTATTTAAATGAACAACAGCTCCTAACATTCCAGGAAGTTATCTGTCCTTCAGCAAGTGGGGCTTACAGGTTAGAAGCATTTTTGTTTTATATTTTCTTAAGCACGGCAATTTAAACTTAAAATATACCTTTAGCCCTCATGAAGTGTGCACACAGCACCATGCCTGGCAACCATACACTATTTAACGGTCATAGTAAACTATAAAATTGGATTTTCTGTTTCTCCTCAGTCTTTTCTTTCTCTCCTGTGTCTAAAGCCGATGTTGTGAGCTGGAATGGCTAGCCTTCTAGCTTCTAGTGCTGAACTTTCACATACCCAAAAGCAATGCATTTTTATGTTATTTTTCAGATAATTTTCTCAGGTCCCCTATCACTCTGCTTGTAGTCTGTTTTCCTTTGAGGTCCTTGATGGGTTCATACCTAGTTCATTCCTTAAAATGGCCACACCCTCCTGAACTGTTGTTCGTCCAGGCACTCCTCACTAAAGTGACCTTTCTTCTTTCTAGGCTCTCTCTGTTGACAGGTGGCTGCAGTGAGCTGCCCTGCCCTGCTTCCGGGGCTCTTGGGGTTTTTAATGCTTTGTGGTGTTTTCCCAAGTACAGTCTGGGTCCATTATCGAGCTGTGACAGGAATTTAATACATTGTTGTCCATACTCAGAAAATGAAAAATAATTAAGTGTTATTATATGTGTTAAATTTGTTTTGTGAAACCATTGTTTCAGCTTACCAAAAAAAAAAGGGTGTATGTGTAAATGTTTGTGCCAACTCCCAAGGTAAATCAAACCTGGAAGATTTGAGAAGAAATCCATAACCTGACTTACTGGATTATATAGGAAACAGATTTTTCTAGGCTTTATTTTGTGCT